TCCCTGTGCCACCCCTTGGTTGACAGGGATGAGCAGGGGGGCTTAAACTCGGGTCGGGCGAAAGGGGGGGATAGCAAAGGGGGGGCTTGAGAATCAGCTCACGCAGCTGATTTTCCTGGCGCCTCCCGGCGCCAGAGGCGCCCATGTATCGAGGAATGGGCCCCTCGGCGGGGCCGAAACCAGCTGCATGCAGCAAATTTCGTACCCCCCCTTTTCCCAATCCCCCCCTTTCGTCCGGCCCGATAAACTAGCGAGGGGAGCGCTAGCAATGACTGATTCATCAGGGCAGCATCTCAGGTCTCAGATGAGAACGACGTGTATGTCGCCAAGGTGCAAGAGGGAGATGACGTGCAAGAAATGCACATGCCGAAGGAGGAATGGCCCGAATGGATCAACGCGGATACGACCGAATGGGTGCAGTTTCTTAAGACTACTGGGGGAGTACGAGTGTTGACCCTGAGCGAAAATCAGAAGGTTCGCGAAGCCCTTGCACGGCAAAGAACGGAGGACCGCATCATTCCGTCAACGGTGGTACGTCAGAAACAAAATCCCTCGGAGCAGCTGGGAGTGCCAGCCAGCTTCAAACGCGGCTGGTCTGTTCGTAGAGGTCCAGATCTGGACGTTCTGTCCCTGGTACGCTGAGCACATACTGTTACAATGAGTTCGCTCATGATGGTCTTGTAGATCCCTGCCCCTAACAAGTGCGGAGACCTGTGGAAGGCATTCGTGCAGTCCGGCAAGTCGGTAAGGGAGAACGGCAAGCTGTGCGCAGAGCAACCCAAAAGTGGGCTTCAAAACATGGAGCCTAGCCAACTTATCGAGCTCGTGTCGGGCGTGTACGGTCTTGGAGACGCTCCCCTGCACCTCAGGGCAGGCCTCAAAAGGATGTCGTATAGCTGGGCGACGGCCAGAACAAGCTGCACCCGACCGCGTTCATGTTGTTCCCGGCCAGGGCGTCTGCTCAGCCCCCCGGTGAGGCTAGCGGCTAGCAGATCGTGGAGGACAGCGTGGAATTGCAGGACCTCGAGTTCAGGCACGAACGGACGTGGAGGGCATCGTGGTGGTGGTGGATGACACCTTCGATGTGGGCGGTCATCGTCATCGAGAACAGATGACCCGATTGCGGCAGCGAAGGGAGTTCGGGAAGTTAAAGTCTATATGGAAGGACTCCGAGGGAACCATGTTCAACGGCCGCCACTGCACCCAGGACGCCAAATTTGACTCCCACGTGTCCATTTAAAAAATCATTGAGGAGAGGCTCTCACCCGTCAAGGTAGCTCGGAGGAAAACTGGAGGTGACGCATGCACGGCGGGAGAGTGCAGCCAAATTCGTGCAATTCTCGATTCGCTGACCTGGCTGACGCGGGAGTCGGGGATCTTCTGACCCGGGTCAATCCAGACCCGGGTCAGCAGGAAACCAAAAACTGCAATGCAGGAAAAAAAAACTGCAACGCAGGTCTTCGCAAACCCGGTTCAGCCAATATGTGCGGCCGCCTCGCGGCCACGAGCGGCTCGCTAACCCGGGTCAGCCAGAGAGGGTCTTCGCAAGATCCTGCAGGATCCAGTGCCGTGGCTGACCCCCGTTTGCATTGACCCCCGTCTCAAGGCTCCCGAGGGAGCTGAGAGCGGGCGGTGCCGGGAGGTGCAGCTTACCTCAACAGTCCCTAAGCACGCTGACCTACGACGACGTCACGAAAATTACCCAGCTGGTGGAACACATGGAGGAGACAACGGACTTGGGAATTACCGCGTGGCCCATCCCATTCGAGGAGCTGATGTGGATCTCGGTGTCTGATGCAAGTTTGCACAACAGCAGTGAAGGTGGACCCCAAGGTGCATATGCAGTGTTGGCTACCACGCGTGGAGCTCCCGAAGGAGAACGACAGCCAGCTAGCTGATTGACTTTGCATGAGGAGACACTTGCTCTGAATACTGGAGTTGCAGAGCTCGGATGGATGGGCACGTTGTGTCATGAGTTTGCGTTCTCTGGTTTCAGGCTCGACGAGTGGGAAAGGTGTTGCGAGCACCGGAGACTAGTATCACTTGCTGGACGGAACCCTGATGAGAAGAACGCGAAGATGCTACGCAAGAAACCGTGTGTTGTGGACGCGAAGTCGCTGCACCGCTACCTAAAGAGGGAGACTACTGAAGGGCCCGACAGCAGATTCTCGACGCAGACCCAAAGCATTCGCCCAGCCATGCACACAGCGGGCCGCGAGATTCGCTGCAAACTTTCTGGACATGCTGGTGGATGGAAGGACGAAGCGGAGAGCGAAGATGGACCTCAGGGGTGGGAGCTGCTGCGGCTCGAAACAGTGTGAGTCGTGAGCGAGGAGACGACCATGGCAGCGCGCACAGGGTGCGCAGGCGCAGCCGGGCAGAGGCCAAGAGCGCCGATCTCTGCGCCAGCGACCGTGAGGCTGAGAGGAGCAGCGATTTTCCAGAGCTTTTAGATCTGCTGTGCAGTGCGTGCGTGTGCGCGTCCCTTCGGCTCCCCTTCTGTTCCCCGTCGCGCTCCCCTGCCGCTCCCCCGTGTGCCCGCCGCAGCCATATTCTGCCCTGGCTGGCTTACCCGTGTGTTTCGTGGGATCCCATAATAGCACCAGATAACGAGTATATCCTATCCTGAATCCCCCTCTCCTGTGCAAATGCGAGCTGTGCGCAAGCTTACTGCGGATTGGAGTTCTCAATCATCGGGCGCTCGTTGTGTGAAGAGGACCTGCTGAACATCGCTGTCTTTTCGGCACGACCGTGGCGATTAAGGATCTACACTCGAACACAACGCGACGCACAATACATAGACACGCACAATCCTAAACTCGGCCCACAACGGCACAAGAGGCCTCCAAGACGCCCAAGATGATCTCCAAAACGGCCCTGGAGCAGCCCAAAAGGGCCCCAAGTCGGCCCAAAGAGGCCCGCGAGACGGCGCCACACGGGCCAGGAGCCCACCAAGACGGCCAAAGAGGCCCCCGATAAGCTCCCCAAGGCCCCCAAGAAGCCCGAGGATGCTCCCAAGATGCCTCCAAGAGGCTCCCAGGAAGCTCCCAGGAGACGTACCCCGGAGGGGCTCTGTGAGCCACCACGCAAACTCGAACAGAGCACGAATGGTAACCCGTCACCGCGCCCGCAGGGCACGGAATGGGCGTGCGCTCGGGTCCTGAGCCAACATCCCCTAAGCCTCAATCCTCACTCCCGAGGGGTCTTTGAAGGAGCCCGGACCCCTCGCTCCCAAATCTGCGTGGGCTTGGCGCATCCTCTCGCGTGACTTCTTCGGGCCCGAGGGGGGCTTCGGAACCCATGCACGGTGGCGAGATGGGCCGAAGGCCATTGGAACCGCCGCCCCCTGTCGATTCATCGCAGGGGTGCCTGGCGTGCTAGACCCTTTCGGTTTTGGTTTGGGTTTTTCCAAAAGGACTCCCTCTGGGGCTTCGGCCCGTCCCGCCGGGGTCCTGGGAGGATCTTCCAGGAGCTCAACTCCCCCCCAAATCCTCCAAGACGGCTCAAGATGGCCTCCAAGATGGCCACGTTGGCCCAAGATGGCCTCCAAGATGGTCCCAGATGGCCTCCAAGTCCGCCGAAGATGGTCCAAGACGGCCTCCAAGACGGCCTCAGAGAGCCCAGTATAACCACAAGTTCGCCCAAGAAGCCTCCAAGACGGCCCAAGAGGCCTCCAAGAGGTTCTCCAGGAGGGCCCGTAGAGGCCAAAATCATTGATGTTCCTTAGGCTGTTGAAGGATCTTGAAGTGTGCATCTTCTCGGCATTCCGACGGATCAAGACGGCCCAAGAGGCCCCCAAGATCGCCCCAAGATCGCCCGAGAGGCCTCCAAGAGGGCTCCTTGACGGCTCAAGTGGCCCCCAAGACGGCCCCAAGAGGGCACAAAGAGACGACCCAAGAGGCCTCCAAGACGCCCAAGATGGCCTCCAAGACAGCCCTGGAGCACCCCAAGAGGGCCCCAAGTTGGCCCAGAAAGGCCCCCCAAACAGCTTCCGACGGCGTCAGGCGGGCCAGGAGCCCACCACGATGGCCGAAGTTGGCTCGAAGCTGGCCCAAGACGGCCCAAGAGGCCTCCAAGAGGGCCTCCAGGAAGGGCCGAAAAGGCCAAACTCATTGTTTTCCTTAGGTTGTTGAAGGATGTTGGCAGTTGCTTCGGTTCGGCCTTCCGACGGCCCGATACGGCCCAAGGGCCCCCAAAGATCGCCCAAGAGGCCTCCAAGATGGCCCCAGAACGGCCCAAGAGGCCCCCAAGACGGCCCCTAAGAGGCCCCAAAGACGACCCAGGATGCTTTTAAGACGCCCAAGATGGCCACGGCCCTGGAGCATTCCAAGACGACCCCAAGTCGGCTCAAAGAGGCCCCCCAAACGGCTTCCGATGGCGTCGGACGGGCCAGGAGCCCACCAAGACGGCCGAAGATGGCACTAAGATGGCCCAAGACGGCCCAAGCGGCCTCCCAGAGGGCCTCCAGGAAGGGCCGAAAAGGCCAAACTCACTGATTTCCTATGAGTGTTTGAAGGATTGTGGCATTTGTTTTGTTCGGCCTTCCGACGGCCCGAGGCGGCCCAAGTGCCCCCAAAGATTGCCCAGGAGGCCCAAGACGGCCCCAGGAGGCCCCCAAGACGGCCACAGAGGCCTCCACGACGCTCAAGATGGCCTCCAAGACAGCCCAAGAGCCCTCCAAGACGTCCTCCAAGAAGGCCCGAAAGGGTCAAAAATGGCCTCCAGGCGGCCAAGATGACCTTCAAGATGCCCACGTGTTCCCCGAAGGCTTTCCAAACCGATTTGGGGAACACATGGTCCGATAGCTTGGCAGGTCTGGCCTCAACGTTCGGCCACATAGGCGCTTCCAAAAAGGCAGGGGGCGGCGGTGATTCGTCGTAGGCGTCTTCGATAACAGCAACGAGCACAATGATAATAACTACAAGAACAGAAGGTGGACGACGACAAGGAGGAGGACAGGGCGACGAGGAGGCAGAGTGGGCAACTCCAGAAGTGCTGACCTGTCGCTCGTGCTGCCACTTTATCAGCGACAACTCGTAGTAGTCGGTGGGGATCATGAGGGAGTAGCACCTGGAGGGCAACACAACGGGTACCATGACCAACACGTCCCGGGCTCTTGCCTGTGCCGACCCTGGTCATGGCCCCTTGTCGGCCGTCGCCGGTTCGCAAGGACGATGCACGGATAGACGCCGACCGAGATCGACGCTGACCAAGATCGATTTGGAGGGGGGAAGGAGGTGGAGGAGGAGGAGGAGGAGGAGGACGAAGAGGAGGAGGAGGACGAGGAGGAGGAGGAGGAGGACGAGGAGGAGGAGGAGGAGGAGGAGGAGGAGAAAGAGGAGGAGGGGGAGGAGAGGAGGAGGGGGAGGAGGAGGAGGAGGACACGACGTTGCCGCGCTCTTTCTTGGTCACTGTCCCCCGTTTCCCCCCCGCCAGCACCACAGCGTCGAGGGCAGCGCCCCACCCGACGGCGGGAAGCAGCGCTGGTTCTCGCTGTGGTCCGCGCCCGGGGGTGCGTCCGCCGTGGGGCCCTCGGGCGGCGTGACGGAAAGACACCGATTCGGGGTCCTCCTCCTCCTCCTCCTCCTCCTCCACCTCCCCCTCCTCTTCCTCCTCCGCCTCCCCCTCCTCTTCCTCCTCCTCCTCCTCCTCCTCCTCCTCGGAGGTCAACGCGGCGGGCGGAGAGCAACGGATGCTGCAACTAGAGGGGCCAGGATTCGCTTGGCATGGGGCGCTCAAGTAAATACTACTGGTGCGATGTGTTCTCCTGGGAAGCGCGCGTCCGACCCGCACATCCAATATAATCCTATGTTGTAGTAGATCGGTTCCCGCGCGGCGTGGCCAGAAAGAGCCCGCCACGACGCATCTAATACGAGATTTCTCGGTGCGCGCGTCGCCCCGGGGGGGGCGACGTACACATAGTATTAGTAGATTGGGGTGACGCCGACGGGACTCGCTTCGCTTCGAAGCATAACAAAACGCTTCTAAAACCCTCCGACAACCCTCCCCGCGGAAGGCTCCAGGAATCTCGGGTTGCATGACGAAATTTGATCCTAAGAGAAACGGATGCTAGACTTAGAAAACCCAGAGTTCGCTAGCGACTGGTTTCCCCCAAGAAAGACCAACACCCTTTTGAAACTATCCCGGAACTCTCCGAAAAGCCTCCCAAACCCTTCGGGAAAGGTCTTCGGATGGTGTCGGGAAGCTTTCGGTCGTGTAGGGGAAAACGAATACCTAGCAAACCCTGGAATGTCTGATGCTGGATACTCCGAGGCTTTCTCTGGGACTGGCCCCTTACCCCAAGACGTTTCTTGATGGCCTCGAAACCCGAGAAGTTCCCGGAAAGGCCCCGTGAGCCTGAAAACGGCGAACGCCTGAGGATGCACGGTTTCCCCCGGGGCCGTAGTAGGCGACCCGAGGAGGAGGAGGTGGTGGAGGAGGGGGAGGGGGAGGGGGAGGAGGAGGTGGAGAAGAAGGAGGAGGGAGAGGACGGGTCGCCTAAGCCCTTCGGAGCAACCCTCCACTCGGAAGGGCCCGGTGAGCATGAAAACGGCGAACGCCTGACGACCCCTGCTCAGAGCTCCACCATCCAAACCTTTCAGCCTGTGGGCCTCAGAGCTCTCGGCTCCCCTCCAGTTGAGCAGGGACCGACCGTCCTGGCATCCCTAGAGGCCACGAAATGTCGCCAGACCCCCAAAAGTCGGGAACTGGAGCATATACATTACCAGTGGCGGGCGGTTCTTCAATCCCGGGACTTCTTTGAGGGTCGGGGACGACGTCGGGATGGTGTGGTGTATACTTGTTTTCCGGTTTTCCTGGGGAAACAACGAAGACTGTGTACACCAATATCACGTATACACCGATCTGCTTTCCTGTGCGAGATCCAGTGCGAGGCCAGACAAAGGCGTCGGTGTATATAGAGTTCGCTTCCCTAAAAAAGGTTCGAAGAACAACAACCATATTCTTTGAGCACGAACCCGATGTGCTAAGACAAGACGTTCTCAGCCAGAAATATCCTAAGAGCATTGTTCATGCAGAGCACAAAGGGTTCTTAGGCAGTTCTTGGTGGGCCTCTAGGCAAGCCAAGGCCCCTCGCCGCTGCTTGCTCCAGAGGCCCGCTGCTTCATCCAGGCCGACTGCTGACGTCCCTGGGTCCCGCAGCGGGCCTCCAGACGCTGAACATCAAAAAAGACCTCTGCCTTTTTGGGGCGCCCGGAAGTATCCGGGGTACCTCGGGTCCGGGATGACTCGGGCCCGGAATCCCGAAAAACGAACCCGAGTTCGTCCTGACCCGAGTTACCCCTGATGATTCGGGGCTCTGAGCCTTGCGCTCTCAAGACGCCCCTCGAACCCCTCTGCTCCACGACGACGGCCTCGGATTCGACCCCCGGGCCCTCTGCCCTGGGGCGGGGTCCTGCCGAAGACCTCGAGGCGAATCTGGCCGCGACCGCGAGGGCGCCCCAGGAAACCCAGACTCAGGGATGGACAGAACCCCCTTCGCAAAACGTGGTTGAATGAAAGCGACCTCGGGCCCAAACCTGGCGGGCGCCAGCCTGGAAAATGACGGCCGTGGCGCCCCCTCGAGAACCGAACACGGACGATTCATCAATGGACGTGCCAGGGTGGGGGCCCTGACCACCCCCGACGGAGCAGACCCCAGAGCACCCCAAAGCGACACTCCGACCCCCTTCTGAGGGAGAACGGCAGGAGGGGGGAGGGCGGGAGGGGAGAAGGGGGAGGAGGAGGAGGAGGAGGAGGAGGAGGGAGGAGGGAGGAGGGAGGAGGGAGGAGGAGGAGGAGGAGGAGGAGGAGGAGGAGGAGAAGGAGGAGGAGGAGGAGAAGGAGGAGGAGGAGGGAGGGAGGAGGGAGGAGGGAGGAGGGAGAAGGGAGGAGGAGGAGGAGGACCCTGAGCTCAATGCGGGATGACGATCAGTGAAACAAATGGGAGAGAACGATTGCCAAAAATAAGGAGGAGGACCCTGAGCTCAAAGGGGGATGACGATCAGTGAAAAAAATGGGAGAGAACGATTACCAACATAGTTTTCTGCTATTTCTGCACAGTTTTCTGACTGGAAGAGAACGATTTTCAAAACATAGTTTTCCAGCCCGCGGCCGGCTTTTTCTAATCATTATCCCGGGCGCCGCCGCGTGAACACGACCCACGCTCATTTATCAACCGTCATCCTCCATTATGTTGCTCCCATCATGCTTAAGGACCACATCCCAGAAAGACTTCCGAGCACCCATAAAAGTGTCGCAACAGTGTCGCAACAGTGTCGGACGAGTGTCTGCCAGGGCTCGACACGTGACAAACCCCAGAGTTTCGGTACTTGTTTCAGGTGACCACAGAATTCTTTCTGGTGATCGAGGCTTAAGCAGGTTGGAGCATCTTAGCCATCGGTCGGAAGAAGTAGGTAGAAACATGAAGTAGGAAGGCGTTGGAAATAGGTTGGGTTTCCGCCCGCCTCCTGAAGAGGAGGGAAGAGGGAAACCCACTCGACTCTTGAGGTAGGAAGGCGCTCAAAGTAGATTGGAATCTGGGAATCCAAAAATTCGCCGGCCCAACGGGCCAGAGGCGTGCTAAGATCTCCGGTAACTTGTTGACAATATTTCTAATTCGCGCGCGCGGAGCGGCCCCTGGGGGCCCCCGGACGAAACGTACCCCGGCAAGGTCCCGAGAGAAGCCCGGGAGAAGCCACCAGACCACTCCAGGGGAGGGTATTTTTCGACACCCCTCACGAGGATCGTGGCCTCCGAGGGGGGAGCCGCAATCGACTACCCCCAAGAGCCCCCCAAGAGGCCCTGGGGGCCTCCAAAACGCCGCCAAGGAGCCCCAAGAGACTCCCAAGAGGTCCCCAAGAGGCCCCCAAGAGGCCCTAAAGAGGGCTCCAGGGCCGGCGGCATGAGCGAAGCGATTAATAAAGCGCTGCACTGCAATCTGTTGGCAACGAGCCGACGAGGGCGCCCGAAAACCCGGCACCTCGAGCCTCAGGACCCCTGCGGCGACTGCGAAGGGTGTGGTTCTCGCCATCGCTCGGGCGTCCGCTCCCCGTGCACGCCTCGGCCTCGTGCGTGTTTTTTCGTCCCCGGGAAAAGGTTTTTGTTCGGGAGCGGGAGCGGCCAAGAGTGAAGGGGCCCCAGGACACACAAATAAATACACACAAATAATAAGATTCCCATATTTTCCCATATTTTCTGGGTCTTTGTCTTCCCCCCCCACTTCCCATATTTTCCCATATTTTCGAGGTATCGACGATTATTTGTGTTTGTGTGTTTTTTCCCCTCCTGAAAGAGGGGGGTGCCCAAGAGGGGGGGGATGCAAATCATGACCGGCGGCATGTGCGCGGCCCAGCGGGGGGGGGGGGCCAGGGACGTAATGAAACAAGCAGAGGCGCCGCCATGAAACCTGAGGGGATATCATGGCCCCCGCCATGATATTCGGGTCGGGCGAAAGGGGGGGATAGCAAAGGGGGGGTTTGAGAATCAGCTCACGTAGCTGATTTTCCCGGCGCCTCCCGGCGCCGGAGGCGGCTATGTATCGAGGAATGGGCCCCTCGGTGAGGCCGAAACAGCTGCATGCAGCAAATTTCGTACCCCCCCCCTTTCCCAATCCCCCCCTTTCGCCCGGCCCGAGATATCCCCCCCCCCCTTGTCATCCCCCCCCTCTTTTCCGCCCTCGAGTTTCGCCCTCGCGCGTGTTCTTTCGTTCCCGGGGAAAGGTTTTTTTTGGGGAGGGGGCGCGCGCGTGTTTTTGCGTTCCCGGGGAAAGGGTTTTTTTTGGGGGGGGGGGGCGCGCGCGGCCGAACCAGGCCAGAGGCGCCGGGCCTCGGCCAGAAATGGAGGGGCCCCAGGGCATACAAGTCAAGACGCACAAAAAAAAAGATTCCCCATGATTTCCCATATCTTCTGGGTTTCTGTTTTCCCCCCCACTTCCAATATTTTCCTATGTTTTCCTGGGGAGTCGACGATTCATTGTGTCTGTGTGTGTTTTTTTTCCCCCTCCTGAGTTTTCTTTTGGGGGGGGGGGGGGGCGCGCGCGGCCGAACCAGTTCAGAGGCGCCGGGCCTCGGCCACCCAGTGGCCAGAAACAACAACAAAGCAGGGCTGTCTTTGAGCGTGGTACAGTCAAAAACCCTAACAAGGACGCAAGACCCTTGGAAGCCGAAGCTGGGACTTCTGGGGCGGCGGACGACGAGAACCCCAAGGGCGCAAGAGCAAGGAAGAGCAAAAGGACGCAAGGGTACCCTGAGCAAAGTCGCGCGTCCTTGTTAGGGTTTTTGACTGTAAGCCATGTGCTGGGCCTCCACTTGGGCCGGGCCAGCGAAGGTCTTCTGCGACCAATGACGAGGTCGCGGAGGGACGGCCCAAGGCGCCTGCAAGACGGCCCAAGAGGCCTCCAGAACCCCAAGAGGGTGCCCACACAGGGGGAACCAAACGGACATTTCGAGCTCTCCGCGCCGAGAGGCTCCCAGGAGGCCCCAAGAGGCACCCAAGAGGTCCCCAAGAGGCTCCAAGAGGCCCCCAAGAGGCC